AAATCTAAAGGTAGGGTGTCCGAGTTGGAGGTCTCAACTTCAGAGACTGCCCAAAATAATAGTTTTGACTAGACTATCTTAAACTAACAATGAGGCTGCCAAGGTGGGGAAATTAATCCCATCCACAGTGTGCACAGCAAAGCCAAAGAAATGCTTACGTGTCATTGCCTTGCCTAGATGCTGTTATCCTGAATCTAGTTTTCCAGCTGATGTAAATCCAGACGTTGTAAATCATCATGACTCTGTGGACATAAGCTAGCCAAAAGAATGGCCAAAATTTTCTATGCTAATACCGCTTGTTTTTCTAGGTTGGCAGAGTTTTTAGGAATTGTGTTGAAATGTTACTTAAATTACAAGGGGAATGTCTCATTGCTAGCTTAGATTTCCATTAAAATATCTCTGACCTAAAAGCTGTTATAACCTTTTACAGGTAGAAATAAATGTGTTGAGGAGAATAGTTGAAAATGCCAGCTTCTTTCAGCCTTAAGTATCTCTATGAATGCAACATTACTGGTTAAACACAAATATCTATACTGTAGACCAACCACTCCAAATGAAAATGTGTTCTCTGTATCACAGAGAGCTCTGTTAAGGAATATGTTAACCAAAGGCCAAGTCTCTTTATTCATAATGAAGCTGATAGCAAAATTTTCATCAATTAAATGGAGGAAGCAGAGTAAGATCAAATGGCTGGGGTTGTGAATGAATTAGAGGGGTGTTGGGGAAGGGCTGCAGCGATGCCTTTCTCCATTTCACAGCCTCTTAATTGTATTATTAGTATTATTTGAAGTTTTCTGGATGTTTATTAAAGTGGGATTGAGCTTGGAAGAAAGATGAAGTCGTGAGACTGACACAGAAATGTGGGAAGAGAGTAGTCAATGAAGAAGAAACCACAAGGTCTCTAATAGTGAAATAAATATTTTGAACCTTCTCACCTTTCATGGATGGAGATGCTAAAGTGTTTTGTAAAGTCTGTGTGTGGCCTGGATTGAGAAGGCAACAGGTGGCCAGCATGCGGTGTACCTGCAGGAAAGAGCTGATTTTTCTACAGGTTACTGGACAACTCTTTATTCTCACACGTTAAACTGACCTCTTTATCCAGTGCTTGATACTGTTTCCTGTATTAATAGATTCTTAAGGTCAGTGGGGAATTCAATGAACATCTTGTCTGAATTCTTGCAACAACAGCCAAAAGATTCAACCCCGTAACTCCTGCCAGGAGTCCCTGATTGAGCAACAGCCTCTTTAAGAAGGTTGTTGGCTTATTCCATGACTGATGTTAGAGAGGAAAAAGTTCCTTTGAGTAGGAAGAATCTTATCTATCATGTTCTGATGTTTATCCAGGGCTTAATGTTGTAAGGGAACGATCGGTATAGCGTAAAAAGCATCTTCATTCTTCACCAACTATTGTATATTCAGTCAGCATTCAAAAGGCTGGAGCTCCAGTCTGCTGAATCTCTCCCCCTAGCTTCAGTATTAGCTAACTCTCTTTGTACTGCCCAGAAACGTATTGGGTCCCTGACATGTAGGTTTTAAGAAGGCAAGGATAAAATTCCAAGTATAAAGGGAAAAATAATACACCAAATGTTGTGGATACAGGGTGTGCCATACAGAGTGGCAGCAGAAGCCCAAGTCCTTTGCACTGTTTATGTGTGTTTTGATTTTCCTCACTGTTGTACCAAATACTGGTGCACCAGTAGCATAAAGAGGGCAATTCCTAGTGACATTACAGCTCCATACATCAAGCTAAGTACCTGGAGAGAGATGCTTACTGTTTGTTAAGCAATACTATGAAGTGCTATGATTCAGAGCAGCAATGTTCTGGTGTAGAGGATGGAGGGACCTGTGACATGTTTTCTTTTAATTTATTTGGTAGAAGGGAACCTGGTAAAAAGCAATTTATAAATTCTGTAGGTATCCAATCTGTTTTTGTCATCAACACATTAATATAGAATAACACTATTCTGACAGTGAATTATACTTCCCTTACCATTACTCTGAGCAGTTGTGGTGCCCAAGAGCTTTGCTGACATGAGAGAGTTATACAGGTTCCCCAACAGTAGTGCAGTCCTCGACTGTTACCACAGGCATGTGACTTTTTTTGTTTTCCCCCTTTGGTTCAATATATGTTACAATTTTTTAGCTGAAAGGAACTAGAAACAGGTAAAGGACATGAGAAGCATAGTCCTTGTCTTTAGATGGCTTTTAGCGTGGTCTGGGGTCACATGAGGTAAAAACTTTTGGCAGGGCTAAGACTCCACAGGTATCTTGTAGGACCTGTTAACTTCTGTTCCGTGTCCCTTTAAGTATTTTGGGGACAAGGAATACCATTGCTTCAACTGTTAATTTGAGAAATTTTCACCTCTGTTAATATCTTCGACCTTTTATGGCCCCTTTATGATAGTATTTTAGCTCATCACTGTCTTCATCTTTATTTCATACATGCAGGTCTCAGTCAAAGAGAAGGACATAACTAGTGTGGAGTCTCTCAGGAAAGAGAAAGGTGCTGAATCTGTCCTTTACAAGTGCCCTAACAACAGGAGCTCCATTTCTGTTCACCCCATGTTCAATAAGATAATGGAAACCACACAATTTGTTCAGTTTCTTTCTCCTCAAAGAAATAAGCCAAAGAGGAAAAAGTATTGTCCCAATGGATCTGAGAGACAGATCACTGCTAAGCAGAAGAAATAGCCACAACAACAAAAAGCTGATTTCTGAGGTGCTTCAGTGCTCCAACTAGTATTTCACATTGATTATATGCCAAGGCATTATTTAGGCAAACTTGATAATCTGCGTTGTAACTTCGAATGGGAAAATCACTGAGGCACCTCCTCTGTGTTTGTCTGATGGAACAGAGAAACTTGATATGAAGAAAAGAAAAGAAATGTTGGCCCCAGATACTGTCCATCCCTGGAGCATGTGTTCGAGCAGTGACACCAGGATAAGAGCCATCACAACACACTCTATGGGGTGTGTAAAGGAAAGGATTTAATCAGGTTTTTCTGCCTTCTCCAGGGGATGTGATGATAGTTGTAAGCGTGTGGCTCTCATTCACAAGAGTTATTTGCCCCCAGTTTTAATGTAATTTTTAGGCAGCTTCCTAGCCCCTGTTTCTCTCATCTCTTAAATATATGTATTTTCTCTGGAGAAAAGGGTAGTAATCCTTTGAAACAGAAAATGGATGGAATTCAGCCCAGTCAAAAACGATCAAATCCTTCAGATTTGAGGTTTATGGACTTCATTTAAATGATGTGCTAATAAACATGAGCACAAACACAGAGCAGTATTGGTCACAGGGAATTCACTGGCCTTCATGCATGCTTGTTTTTTTCTCTCTGCTGGTGCTCACATTATCTGACAAAAGTGGGGTTTTACTTGTTTTTTAATACTTTTTTAAAAATCAAGACATTATTGGCTTCTTATTGCTTTGTGGAGAGAGATTGAATAATCAAAGCCGCCTCTATCTGCACCATATGCAATTACTCAAGTTAACATTGCAGATGCTAGGGAAGTGGGGACAAGAAGCGCCTCAGAGTCTGGAAACCTCGCCTGCACTCGGAGAGTCTTGTACTTTGAGGCCTCATGAAGGCTGAGGCTTGTCTTTGGTGGGTCTTCAGGTTGTAAAGGTAGGTTGTAGGTTAAATCTTGAAGGTGCACCCATAGAGTGAAAAAGTTGCTTCCTGCTTTCCTAACTGGATACTGACAGCTGTAGAGGCTTCACTTTCTTGAGGGTTCACTGACTAATCTGATGTGTTCAGCAGCTCAAAAGAGCATCAAGATAAAAGTGGTCTTAACCGTTTCAGAGAGGTCATGAACAGGAACCAAAAAGGACTGTGTAGACATGATGTGCTCCAGTAAATCACCAACAAAACTCTGACTTTAAATGTTCACTTTTCAGAAGATAATGCAACTTTATAACGGAAAAGAAAGTCTTTATGATTGATACATTAAGGTAGGGCTCAGGAGACAAGCTAAAAACCTAATTGCTTCTGCAGCTTTTATGAGTGTGATTCATCTGCTATAACTTCACCTACCTGTAAGTTAAGTGTTTAATCTACACTGGTTATTCAAGGCCCTTCTATGAGGGATGCACATTTCTAGTTTATCCAACCTATCCCAAATTATAGCTCTTTCTAAGGTGTTTTATTACTTTCCTATGACAAAAAAGCCTTTTTCTTTTCTTAAGCAAGTAGTTTAGACAGATTCATCTCATCCACCTCTATCATTCCCTTGGCATTGTAGCAGCAAGGACCTTTGCTCCACCTGAGCCTCTGCAGAGCTTCTGGGGATGCATATAGTATCTATCATTTATAGGGTGCGTATACATGACTAGTTACGTACAAAGGCCAGGCTAAAAGCCTTCACTAAAATGGATAGCAGATACATTTTGCGTTTGGTTGGTCATTCTTTTTGCAAACTTCAAGGGTTTAAATGATGTTCACACAGAATCCTAGAACAGATCCGTAACAACATAGTGTCTCATTTAGAATAATTAACATTTCTTTTATAACACTTGGTGCCCAAACCAGAAAGCTATTTTAAGACAAAATTACTAATTCTATTTTAGAATATATAGGATATATTATATATATATGTATATTCTATATTATGGAATTACTAATATCTTTTTTTCAACAATAAATTTTAAAATGTGACAGAATCTCAATAGCCTAGTTAGCTCATGAGCCTGGGGTGTTGGGTTGATAGACAAACGTTCTTGAAAGTGACTGATCCCGTACTTACTGTTCCTGTATTATGTCTGCAAATAGTAGCGCAATGCTAAATTTTGTGATCCAGCCTTTGCAGCTCAAGGCTCATCAACACTTTCCATGAACAATCATACTATTAATTATCTTGGACAAGGTTGGTCTACTGGTCTCACTTTTTCTTGCAAATAACCCTGTTGTGCTCAGCATTATTGTCAGCTGTTTTGTGATCGACTAAAATAAGCAGCATATGGCCTTAATTTTGCCTTTGTTCATTTTTTATTTTCCTTTCAGTGGCTGCATCAACTGCTAATTCCACAGCTGGTGCGGCCATGAATTCTTTGACTTCTCTGGGTACTCTCCAAGGATTGGCTGGAGCCACTGTTGGACTGAATAATATTAATGCACTAGCAGGTACCGTAAACAGTGAGTATTTACTGCTGTGGTGGACAGCCTTTCCCAATAATCATTCCACAAAAACTTACCAATTGTAAAGTGATAATTTTTGATCTGTATACAAAATAAGGGGGTCAAGTTGATCTAGTTCCATTCGTGGTACACATGCAGTTCTGGAGTCTTTAAGTTTCACATAGTTTGCTCTGCAAAGTGAAGTCCCTTGGGTCCCTGCACAAAGACTCCTTTTCTTGCAGGGTGTATGGAAGGTAAAAGAAATGTCACCAGGGATTTGTGTTATCTAGGCTATAGCAGAGGCTCCTTTGTCATTTGGGGAGTCTGACAACAGGTATGTCACCCAATGTACAAAACCTCACTCAGAAACGTAAAGATAAGAAAGATGTTTGCCATGGAGGCAGTCCTTTTCAAATGTCCGTAGGAACTATAAAGTTGACTTGAGAGCAACATACTTTAAAAATGAAGTCAAGTCTTTGACTTTTAATTGGCAAGCGTAAGAGAATGATGCAGTCAGTCACCTGCAGTACCAGAGCATGCACATCAATCCTATGACATCCTTTACAAACCCTGGCATCTCCAACTAAGTAGATGCTGGTAGTTGTTAGAACATTCTTCCTTGTTCTTAGCCATGGTCAAGGTTTTCCTGGAGAAGAAGGATTCTTTTTGTATTTATTGTTTCTGCTATGATGACTTCACCTTTGCCTGCAATGGAAGAGATTTGTCCAGCTGCATTTCCCCCTCCCTTTTTTTTCAGCTGCTGTTACTCCTTGCATTTCCTTTTGCAATGCAAGGAATCTATCTAGTCCATGAGCCATCATAATGTACCCCCAGGAATGGATGTCCTCCTCAGTATCTCTTGCTCAATCTGATGCTCTGCATGATGTCCTTTTTGTCACTGTTACGTGGCTGCTCACACAACCTTTTTGTTCTGTGATCTCTGGTTGTCATTGTTGGGAGCTGGGAAGGAAGGGGGCTTATGGATGTCCATGTAGCAGTGTTGAGTGGTGCATGGGGTCTTGTGTAAAACAGGTCTTGCTTCTGGCAAGGACATGCATATTTCACACAAACAACCTCATAGTAAATATGACTCAAGAAAATGTAAGAAAAGTAAGTATTAGGTCCCAAAATGGAAGATCATAGTTTCCTTTCTTACTATTACATTAGTATTAAAGCAAGCCACTGAAAATGGCATGCATGAAAATCTCTCTTAAGCTCTCATAGTAAGAGAGCTACTCTGTCCAAGTAAGAAATCATTAAATGTCCTTTCCTGATGATCAGTCATTGTGCTTTACTTGGTTTGTAAGAAGTCACAGTACTAAAAGCAGAATATGGTATCTCGCTGCTTCCCTCCCACAAGTGCTAAGAACCCAGGTACACTGGAGCACTCCAATATAGTGTCCCCTTCATCAAGGTGGATCAAGAGTGTATCACCTATGAGCTCTTGACTTTGTGTGGGAACTCTTCTGTTGCGCTGTTTTTAACAGTTCTTGGTAGGCTAAAAGCAAAGAGTTTACGTTTTCTCAGCAAGTATTTTGAGGTGGTGTGTGTGCAAACTTACCTGCTTGTGTCATTTGAAGTATTAATGATGTATTCAGAACCTAGTACCAAACTTCAGCTTGTTTTAAGCCACCATTACTTCCATGGACATATACCAAGAGTGGCTTCAGTCCCAGATCTTATTCATGGATGTTTTTATGGACAGAGTGTACGTGCTTGGAATATCTGTATGTGTATAGCACTTACAAAATGTATGTGGATGTGTCTGTCTTATGTATATACATATACAACAGAGATCTAAAGAGGGAAAACTGCTCCTCCACAACACAATACAGTGTTGTGGCACTGTTTCTCTCAAAAGGGTGACACTGATTATCAGTTTCAGGTACTTGTGATGCTAGTGGTAGCAAAGCATTGTTCAAATTACAACAACCTTCCCTGTCTATTTTAATGATGATCCAGTGCTTTTCCTAGTGACCATGCCTGATCCAGTCGTTCACACTCCAGCCTGCATAGGAGTTTGCCCTCAGGAAACTCCACATTTAATAAGTCTGATGTTTCACGCTGTGCCATGGTCATAAGCTGTCCAGTAAAAACATTCATTGGTTATGGAGGTTGCTGAATTAACTGTGTGCAGAAGTTGAACTTGAGTGACATGCTTCTAATTTCGGAATTCACAAAAGAGATCAAGACAAGTGGAGCTTAACCCAAAAATTAATCACAAGGTAGCACTGGGCTTGGGCTTTGATGTACACAGACATGTTAGATGTTGAACGAGCATCTGTTGAAGCCATGTCCTGCTCTGCATGTGAGAATCACAAAAAGAGCATCTTCCAGCTTGAGCTCACTAAGAGGCTTTTATCTGTTTTCTGGATCCTGTCTTGGTCCATGAAAAAGAAGTTGGGCTGGGGAGACAGATAGTGCACTCATTGTGGAGAAAAGCATTGTAGAAACATGTCTGGAGGCCTTAAAAATTAAAGAAAGTGGAGTATGTTAAGTTATTCTGTCTCCAGGGGGTTGGCAACAGTTGTACATACATGTGGGGATTCACCTAGTCTTTCTTAAGTTGTGCTTGGAAGCATCTAAAACCTTAAATGACAAAACATTAGAATGTCTCCTTTGGACATGTAAATTTAAATAATGGAACTAACAAAAAGAGTGATGAATAATAAGGAAGAATGAATAAAGAGGGAGGAAGAGATTCACTGAGTTAAGAAAGAAGACCATGGATTCAGGATACAGGACAGCTATGGCACAATATTTGTCTGTGAACCCAGGGCAGTCACTTAACCTTTCTGCCCCTGCATTTACATCTGTGAAATGGAGATAAAGCTATTCATGACAGTTTTGAAGGTGCTTGGAAAGCACTTTGAGAGCCCTTTGGACTTGCCAGGCAATGTCACTTCTGTATTATGTACAGGAACTCAAAAAAAGTAGAAGGCCGTAGATGAGAGACACCAAATGGTTATTTCACGGAAGTGAGAAAGGAACCGGAGTTTAGTATCAGACTGAGGTGCATTGGTAGAGATAATAAAGAGATGGCAGAGATTTGTAACTGCAGCTGGACCTTGCAGATTTCATGAAAATGTAAAAAGGGAGAATAGGAAACACGTGGAGAGCTTTCTGTAGATGTTTTGCTCAGGGGGCAAGTGTATTTAGACAGGAGCACTGCAGCAGCAATAGCTGAGCCCTTCCCAGAAGCAGTGAGCTGGGGCTGTCTGGCTCTTTGCTAATCTGAATTCATTTGGTGGGAAGGGGCTATTGATTCTAGGTGAAAGAAGGGAGAGGATGCTGCCCACTGCAACACAAAGTGTGTTTATATAATAGGCTGATGACTCACGAAAGATAACATGTTATCCTAATGCTTCCTCTATTATCAAGTTATTTCAACACTATAATAAAAGGGCAGATACAAGCAGCTTTATCAGGAGGCTTTAACCAGCACTGTGTGTACACCCATGCAAGCAATGACACAAACCTAAGTACAAAAACACCAGAGCAGGTTAAGGTCAGTCTCAGAATAAAAAAAAATCATCATTTTTTATTTGGTAGCAGTAGTAGTATTGTTATTACTATTATTATTGTTGTTGTTGCTGTTATTATTAATCTTCATTTTCCAAATGTCCTGTCATTTAGATATAAGATACTTCACAAGCTATCTTGGTTTGCAAGTTTTTGTTTTATAACTGGAACCATTATACTCCAAATATATGGCTCTCGCATGCTCTGACAGGTTTTTGCTCAAAGCAGTGGCAGCCAGTACCTCCTATCAGGATACAGTGATGCTCTGAAGTGGAGTGGAGGGGAAAGAGAAATCTTCAAAGTGCGAGACATTTTATTAAGGAAAGGCTAAGAATATCACATCTCTGTCAAGTGTTTAGTCAGACAAATTATAGTATTATCAAAAGGTATCATTTATGCAGTACAGTTCTCTTAATTGGCACAGACTCTGGTAGAGCCAGAAAGGTGCCACTTGAGCAATTGTCCTGATTATCGAAGACTCATAGGAATACACTTTTTGAATCTACATAAGAGATGGAAGAAAACTAGCAGGTCAGCATCTTTATCCTCCTCTGTCAACGCAGGATAATTCCCTGCAGTACTCTTTCTATCTCTAAATTACTCATGTGATAAGGTTTCCTTGAAGATTGTTTGCCAGTCTAATAGATTTCATTATTAATTCACTATAAAGTGTCCTCTGCTTAATTTTCTCACTTTTCCCCAATTTACGTATCACCCCTTATTTGCTCTGAAATTAAGCCCTCTCTTCAATGTTTCTAGCTCTTGGGTCTTAATATGGCTCCACCAGTCACGTCCATCCATCATTTTCCCGACTGAAACACTGCACGGTCAATGGTTGCTGGTGGTTCTGGGTGCCCCAGTTTTCTGGTGATTGGTCTGCTGTACTTCAAGGGGCCTGATTAAGCCCTTTTTTTAATGGGATGTTCACCTAAAAACTGGGGAGCACAGGACAGCTAGTTGTGCAGAAAACATGGCCTGACTCAGTCCTGACCGGCGCTTACTGCTCCAGTTGACCCAAGTTGGAGTTGTGGGTGATGAGCCAGGCTCTGAACTCTGCCACCCCTTCAACTGCAAAGAGACTGCAGCTCTAACAGAAATTTCACTTTTTCTAGAATTTCTGAAAAAAAGTAAGTGCTAGCACTGTTAAATTCAGTGTGGCTCATTTAGGAGCCATGATGAGGCTTAGAGGAAATGGAGAGGTGGCGTAGCCCAGAAGTTTTCCACCATCAAGTCAGAGTATTAAAACTTCTTTTGCAGACCACACTGTTTTCATGGATAAAGGCTGCCATTTTCCTCACAGCTAGCAATCTAATTTCCTCTTTGGCAGTTATCCCCATTAACTTCATCTGTTATTTATCATGATCTAGAATTGCTTTAAAGAAAAAAAGTGAAGGGACTCTGCTTCCAGTGAGAAGGCATTGCTAGAACCAAATGCTTGTTTCATCACGAAAGATACCAGATCTGGATGAAGCACTTCAGTCACTCTAGATGTGCTAGATGTTCATCTCTTCTGGAGTAACTGGAAGAGGAAGATGGAAGCACAGAGCATTGCAGTCCATCTTCCTGTCACAAACCTAAGGGATGAAGCGCATAAGTGTACAGAGGGTTATTTCAAAGTGGTGTTTATCGGAGTTCTCTGCCAACTCTGTTTAAGCAAAATGCGTCTGATACGGTGTGATCATGGCCCATTGCTAAGTCACTTGGTTGGAAAGAGTGGGTTTCATTGCAGACTGCTTTTTCCCACTGGCCAGCTTGCAAGGATACAGGTCAAAGAGGTCCACCTCTCCCAACTCCAGAGACCCTCCAGAGATATTGAGGGCTTTCAGGAGCACCGGGCTGTAGTACTTGCCAGTAGCAGGCTGCATGTGAGTCCATTTGACTGTGCAACCCTTGTGCTAAAAGTGATCCTGGCGCCAAAGTCGTGTTTTTCCTTGTTTTCAGTCCCATTTGGTGACGTGCGGAGCTGCATGCACTGCTGTCGTTGTCAGTGTCATATAATACCAACGACTTTCGGAAAGCACTAATGAACAAGTGCAATTTCTTTTCTCTATTGTTGGGTTTTTTGTAAAGTTGCTCAAATGCTCTCAGGTATGGCGGCCCTGAACGGAGGACTCGGCGCAACAGGCTTGACGAACGGTACAGCCGGCACGATGGACGCGCTCACCCAAGCCTACTCAGGAATCCAGCAGTACGCGGCCGCCGCACTACCCACCTTGTACAGCCAGAGCTTGTTGCAGCAGCAAAGTGCTGCGGGCAGCCAGAAGGAAGGTAAGTGCCCACTGATGGCAGAGCAAGCTACTTACGGCCAAGACAGAGCGGTGTCGTAGGTTCGTTTCTTCATGGAGGCTTAACAAATGACCTCGAGTAGCTTCATCTTTGGGTTTTATTTCAGTTTTCTGCTGTTTAGGCTTGTTACCTTATTTAATGTCTAATAGAATTAATATTTTAACCATGTCCTTCAAGTTATACATCACTGCCTGTTCTTTCTTCTATAAAAGCATTTACCAACTACTGGATAAAAGTGCACTGCTAACAAAAATCATCCCTTTATGGGTGCCATTCTCTCTTATAGTTTCCATATTCTGTGATAATGGAGTTAATCTGATTAGGTTTAAGGTTTTGAGTTAATGACAAGATCCATTTTCACTTTGAGTGGTTCTTTGCTTAATTGCGGGTCTTGTGGGGAAGTGAATGATTGCCCCTTCTCCCCGAGCCAAACAGCAAATAAAGCTCAGGAAATTACTGCTAAGAATAAATGAATACTAATTACAAGATGTTTAGGAAAATGAGGTTACCCTTTCCCCCTCTTCTGTTCCCCTGCACACTTCCCAGGCATTTGGGGGGTTAGTTTGTTTTCATTGCTTTCTCTCATCCTTATTTCCAGCTAGTTCTAGAAGGACAGCTTTCTAATATTGTATCTGTGTTGTCACTGCTGTTCTTGCCAGGGCTAAGCTTTGGAAAGAAACCTAGTGTAATATCCTCAAGAGATTTTTTTTCATTCTCTTTTAAAACAGTATCTTGTCCTGTTATGGGAAATGTTTCCTAGGAAGACAAATTTGGCATTCCCACAGCTGGCTATTGTTTAGGGCCCCTGAAGTTAAAGTGTGTATTTTCTCTGAATTCTTCATTTACTGCAAACAGCCTGTATTATTTAAAATGAAAGTTGGTTTTTTTTTTATCAACCTTTTTCCCTAATTTTTTTGTGTTCTCTGCATTTGTCTTTCAAATCAGTTTGTTGAGACTGACACTGGAATTCAATTGTTTGTTTGGTGTCATTATAGCACCCATAGTGGAGGACAGTTTGATTTTTTCCTATCTTAACTTTTTTCTGTTTATAAATGTTCATATCAAGTGTAGGCTTCCTTTTAATTACTATGATTTGGCAGTGTCCCTTTTAAAATGCAGTCTTTTTTGTTATATATGTCTTGTGTCTGTTTTATATATATATGTATCTTGTATCTGTTAGCAAGGGGTTAAGTTAAAGTGAATGAATTCCATCATTGAATACTGACAACTATGTTTTGTCTCTTAACATGATTTCTGATGGAATAATGAAGAGTCTGGAGTGGTTGATGATAAACAAGTACTAGAGAAAAATGCTATACATATATTAAATGCTGAAGCACAGTGAACTGACACGTGCATATATTCTAAAATACTATCTAAAAAGTTTTTTATTAGGATTTTAAGAATATTTTCTGGAAAAGATGGTTTACTTGTGAAAAGAAGAATAAGTGCAATTATTTTTTCCTCTTATTTTTTCACAACTCCCAGAAAAGATTTTCTCTTTAAAAAACTTTCTTTCCTTCCCTAATTGCCTTCTTTGAGGCAAACATTGCAAACTTTTCCTTCAGGCTGAGAGAGAGCAGCCAGCTTGGCTATTCTGTATGGGAGAGGGGAAGCTTCATGACTGTTCTGGAGCTTAGTCCATAAGTCTCATGTGTGCTTTCCTCTTCCTCTCCACAAAACCAAGGACATCACATCTTGGACACACTTAGGTTCAATTAAGCAAGGAAATTCTTGAACAGGCTACTCTAGATACCAGAAATGTTTTTTCCCTTTGTGTACCATGTATGCTCCTGGTGTGCGCGTGGGAAGACCACGTCTTGCTCCATCTTACATCCTGTTCTTCCAGGCATCCATTGCTCCTTTCCTGTATGTTACTGTAACACAGAAATTGAACTAGGGAAAAAGATAACCTATTAGTGCTAGGATGAGTGTTTAAACAAACACACTAATAATGAATATCCCAAATTTTAGCTGAAAGAAATACCCAAAGAACCTTTTAGCTTGCATCTTTCTTTGCAAACTCAGCTTTGTCTAAAGCCATTTTAATTTCAACCCAACTACTTTTTCAAAGGACTTGCCTCACAAAGTTTATTCCAAGAGACAGCTTCCTATGGAGAAGTTGTATTAAAAAAGAAAAGAAAAGGCTGCTATTTTGCGATGAGTCAGTACAAATTTAATTCTGAGTATCTTTCTGACATCACTGATTTCCAAGTCACAAGGTTTGCTTTGCCTTATCATTTTTATTTCCATCTCCACCAGTTTCCTGCCCTTTGAGTTTTAATCTGTGATACGCAAATCTCTTCATCTCATTTCATTTCCATAAGTTTCCACATCTAGAACTAAACTGACAAACTCATACAGGTGTTTGAGGCAGCAGAGGACTTGTGCAGTTCTTGGGGTACTGTGAGAGAGTAATACATTGTGTACCTTTGTTCCTAACCCTAATTATACTGAAAGACACTCGTATAAATTGAAAAAAGAGGCTGCAACTTAACTTCTTCTGTACTGGAGCTGTCAAGTAAACATTTTTCAAGACAGATTGCTCTAAAGAGCTGCATTTCAGCTCTGTTCCTTTGATGATCCATTTGCTTTTGTTCCTTCAAAGTTGGAAAGTGAAATGCTTTCTGACCATCACCTTCAGTACGTATTATGGAAACAGATTAAATATAGCACTTCTAGTGGCTGTTTTCACATTTTCTTTTTTTGTTGTTTTTTTTTTTTCCCCTAAAGGTCCAGAAGGGGCAAACCTCTTTATTTACCACCTCCCCCAGGAGTTTGGAGACCAGGACATTCTGCAGATGTTCATGCCTTTTGGAAACGTTATCTCTGCTAAAGTCTTCATTGACAAACAGACCAATCTGAGCAAGTGCTTCGGTATGTGAAATTTAATAAATCAAATAGTAAAAACCACAGGCACTGTACTGAAAAAGGGACAGGAAAGAAAATTAACAGCAATGTGAGAAATGTCATACTGGAGACTCAGTCCAAAAATAATGGACTGTTAATCCTCAAATGAGCGGGGAGATGCCGAAACTACTCCTAACTAAAAATTGGATATGAAAAAACAATAATAATCTTCCAGTCTGACATCTCGCATGAATGTGTCAAGTACGTGAAACTAATTGCGCCCTATGTGGGGGAATGTCATTTAGTATACTATTAAGCTGCCTTATTACGGATACCTAATTATTCTCTATTGTATAGCTGAGCTGCTTTAAAATGCTCTATGTTTAACCCATTACTTCTACATTACAGGAATTTCTTTCTTGTGAATTAAGTACAAGATTTTGCAATTAGTGGTTGAATGGTGCGTACGTGCAGTTCAGACCGCATTATAGACAGCTGATGTCTAGGTATGCAGCTCCAGCTGTTGCAGGTGGACTCTGGTGTATTACAGAAGGTAGTATCTCCCCTTACCTTAAGGGCAGGGATGAGGGGAGCCTCACAAGATCAGTGTCAGGTTTGCCAGAGAAAACTTTGAGCTGCCAGAAAAGGGAAGGTGATACGTTGTTGTGAAGCACATTCTAGGGTTGATTAAGTGGGCTGGTGTCTTCTGAATAGCCTAGATGCACCAGTTCAGTGCTTTGTTGAGTGGAGTACAGCATGTGAGTGGCAATCTGTTAGAGCATTGGTCTAATAATTGTGGTCTTATACAAGACATGAAGAGGGTCTGGGTAAGGGAAAAGAATCTCTTAAAGATAAGTTTTATAAGGTTTGACTTAAAGTACTGGAGCTTCTGTAAAGTGACAGTACTTTCCCAGGGTAAAGGAATGCAACTGTACATGACAAAGAAGTAACCAATCCAGACAAAACCTTAGTTTCCAAAACTCTTTTGTACCAACAGCGCTGCACTTAGGTCAGCACCATCCCTTAATTCCGCAGTGTCCCCATTGACATTGTCCCCATGAACCATATATAATGCATATTTCTTAGCTTTTCTAAATATAGTTTTTGTTAAGACGTGCCTGTCTAAGATCTCATGTCTATCAGGGCCACTCAGGGGCCTCACAGCAACTGGACTTCAACCCATCTTGAAAGGGTTTGACCTTGTCTAAATAGCCACTGGCAAAACACAGGGAGAATTCATCAAGTTACTCAGAAATACCTACTTGAGCTGAGATTCAAACCATGCCACAATCTGAGTAGTTTTCAACCAAAGACAAACCCTGAGTACACTTGGAAAGTTAAGTTGGGTCAAAGAATGGTTGTAACATTCTTTCTGCATTTTTCCTTAGTTTTTCAGTTCATTTTTGAAGCATTCGTCTCTCTAAGCTTTACAACAAATTGCTCATATCTAGATTAATATAGTCCAGCATGTTTCTGCAGTGGGTTAAAGCAGTACCTGAGGCTGTAGCAAATTTGAAAAGTGGAACTGAAATGGACTCCCCGTTGATCTGGAGCCAGTCCTGTTAGTATGTTGGGGTGACAAAATCACTGTTGAGGTCTGCAGGAATCATGATGAAATGTCAAATCAAGGTACGTTAGCCGAAATGCAGCAATTGTGGTGACTGCTGAAAAAAATGTAGATTAGTTTGGGCAGGTGGCTTAATTCATCAGCTCAATTCCACATTTGCATTTTGTGGGTTTCTTTTTACTCTTTGATTCCCTGATTACACATTGGATTTACGGGACACAATTGCCTAACTTAGACTGATGCACCGAGCTTATCTCATTTGAGAGGTCAACACCCAATGGATGGGGGAGTCCTCTGCCTCTTTTGGCATTAGTCAGCTTTCACTAGCAAATTTAATTTCTCATTCTTCCTTCCCAGATATACTGCCACCAGTGAGAGAGTCCTGCTTTAAATACAACAACTACTGCAGTGGCAGAGGAGGTTGAGATTTTCTGATTTGATAGGTGACTACTCCGTGATGCTGCTAATCGCAGGCAAAGCCAGAATTGACCCTGCTAATTTAACATACTAGCATACTCTTATGCACCTCTTCAGCTTAATTAGCAGCAATTATCTATTTGTTGGTTTGGTCCCGTATTTCTGTTTTAAAAACCCTTATTTTATCTCTATCTTCCCACCAAAAAACAAGGACAAGAGTGCATCTAAAGAATCCATTTCTCTCCTGTATCATTAATGGTCATTGCTCTTGATACAGTTTGGAGGTTTTTTTCTTGACTGTTTTGGAGTTTTTTTCCTTTTTGGAATAACAATAATAATGATAATAATAATAGTACTAGTAATAATGGTAACAATAATAGTAAGAATGTTTTGCACATGCTTGGTGCTTTCTGCTCTGGAGTTTCCATCTCCCACCCAAGCATTCCATCAAATTACAGCTGAGGACAGGCTGAAGACCAGAAAGGTGAAAAGATTGTCCAAGGGTTTCCACTGGCAGAAGTGGGAAGGGAAAGTGATGAACTTCTACGTAACACTGGTTTTCAAAATGAAAAATTACTTCTCCTTGCAGAAAATGGACTTTGGCATTATTTGTTTTGTTGTCCACCTCAAGTAAATGCTCAAAAGATTAAATGGTGCTAAGGATAATGTTTATGCCTGAACGTGCTCTTCCATGAGTTCTCATGAGTTCCTGTCGATTCAGCAGACAAAGGATTTCACTCTTTGAGCTTAACTCTTGCCTTTCAAAAACCTTAGAATAACAGAAATGAGAGAATAAAAGTAAAGCAGGGGAAGGGAAACCCAGTGACATCAGTGCATAAATGCGGTCTGCTTGAGAGCAAAATTGCTACTCAAATGATTAAAAATATTTATCCTGATTATAGGGATACCTAGAGATTTAATACAAAATCAGAATTGCCATGACAGGGACTTCAAAAATTGATAAGAAACATCATCCCGTCCTCATGTAACCTGCTGTTTAAAATGCAGACAAAAAATGATGAATGGGTGCAATCAGAAAAAGATAAATAAAGGGAGAGAATGCCAGATTCCACTGTAAGCTTTATAAATAAAGGTTCTTGATAATGGAGAAGATGAAATTGTAACAGGCTAATGTAGATACAGCATTCTGTGTGAAGAGACAAATTGGGAATCAGAATAACAACTGAATGATAAAGGCTGATATCACTGATGCAGCACAGATGTTGTATGTTTGGGTTTGTGTCTGAGTCAAGGAAGATAATAAAGAGATATAGAGTGAGGTGACTTGTCACATCTCCCACTGAAGGTAAGCATAGCCTGAGCTAATCATTCTTCTGTCATCAGTGGAGGCGTCTACACTGGTGACCTGAATGGTGGATGGAAAACCTACCTCTGGGTGTGCTTGCTTCTCTTCATTCACCATTCATAGATACCATCTAAGTGACTAGTTTAAATCAGTTGCTTAACTTTCAGGTGCATAGAACTAGCTGAGAAGAAAAAGGATTAAGGTCATGAGAAGTTCATAGCACAATGCTGTTCTGAATGCACTTGAGAGAACAAAGTAAAGGTCAGGAAAGGTGTAGAGGAAAACGATGAATTGTCAAGGTAGGTAAGACTAGCTACATCTGAGTTGTGGAGCACCTGCCTGGAAGGTGCTACAGTTGCCTCCCAGCTCATGGCTGATCTCTTTTATATCTCTGAGGCAATCCTAGAGATCAAGGCTAAGTGAGATCTGGGAGCTGAGAGAAGTAGACACAGGAGGGCAGTGCGGCAGTGCTAAGACAGTGATTGGAGTCATGTGAACAGGTAAGACCTCCTAGAAGAAAATAGGGGAAAGGAAGAAAGGAAGACAGTGATGAAGCTACTCAGGATATGGCAATAATGGAGGAAATGATCTAGTGGAGAAAGTGAGGAAGTGACAAGTTAGTAAAACCAAGGAAGGTATGGAGGAACATTTATTATCCCCTGAGGAGGTAACAAACCACAGAGCAACATGGATAGAGCATAGTGGCTTTGGCCAAGAGAAGGTCTGCAGAGATTTAAGCAAAAGGTGGTTTTGAGTGGAAGGAACAGAAGCTAACCTCAATTGTCAGAGAAGCATCTTAAGTTAAATACTTTGGTAAAGTTGATTTAAGATGAAACCATAGGGGTGGTCTAATAAGAAGAGCAGCCAGACAAGGACCAGATGACTTGTAAGAGGTGGTTTTTCTCTGCAATGGGGAAAGTGTATTATTCTGACATTGAAGATGGAAGAGGGCAGCAGTGCAAGGTAAGCCAAAGCCATGAAAGAAGATGTTAAAATTATGGTAAAAAGAAGTTATGAATCAGAAAAGTACATAGGCACTAGCCACAAGTGAAGAAAGGTGGTAGAAGAGAGGCACCGAGAAGCCTGTGTGTTACAACGGAAAACAATATGGGGGGAATCCATGCTTTAAGAGAGTGAAGGGATGTGTATTGAAGGAAATTCAAGTGGAAAGAAAAGGGAGCATTTCAAGGCAGCTGCACATGGGCAGGATGACTACTGCAGTAATTAGCCAGAGCTGAGGCAGAGCAGCAGTTAGGCGAGCTTTGCAATTACAAGTGGGAGGCCCAGATATGAAAGTGAATTTTGAGCTTCCAGAATCGGGGAGATTTGAGTCCATTATGAACTGAGCATTTTTAGTCTCCATGGGGAAAGACAGCTGAGCCAGGGCAGCCATTCTGAATTACCCAAGCAAGCATTATCCCCCTAGTTAGTGCTCACAACTGAGGAGCAGAAGATCTTGAGTTCTATTCAAGCCCTGCCACTGTCTATACAATGCTGCTTAATTCTGATGCTTGCATACCTTTCTGGGGACTAAGAGGCTGAATTAATTAACATTTAACGTACCTTGAGATCTTAAACTAGAAGGAGCTGTAAAAATACAAAATAGTAATGCTGCAACTGTCCTAGGCTAAGCCCAAGGGGATGAGTGTTTCACAGTGCACAGGACCACTGAACATGAACTTACATTAGGGTGTGCAAATGTCTGTAGGTGGTTTGGGTTTTGTTTCTGTAACCAGGCTTTTTGTTTCAGCTTCACATCTACGGACTGGCCTAATAGTACTTCCTAATAGACTGAGAGGTATGTAGATATTAAGTTGAAAAGTGTCACAGTAATATTCTCAGTCTCTAAGGTAGCTAGATAAACAACAGATTGGAAACTGTATTGCACCAAAACTGGCCAACTGCATCCCAGCTCGTAAAGAAATATTATGAAGGTAAAGGGGAAGGAAAAGGAAACGGGAGAGGAAATGGGATATGAAGTATAATCAAATCACTAATTGAAAATGAGGTAAATGTGTCAAGTAAATAGTAATAATAAAATCCTAACATAACACCTTCTGACATTTGTTCTAACCTACAGTTCACTTTCTCTCCCGCCTCCGTTCTGTGTCTCATAGGTTTTGTTAGCTATGACAATCCAGTCTCTGCACAAGCTGCTATCCAGGCTATGAACGGCTTTCAGATTGGCATGAAACGCTTGAAGGTTCAGCTGAAACGCTCCAAAAATGACAGCAAACCTTACTGATCTTAACCCCAGATGCTTACTGCTCTTATTTTAGCTTTCTTAGGGTAAGTCCCATGAGCAAACCTGTCCTCTGCAGGGGATTAAGAAAGAACATAGAGCCAACCTTCACCAAGAGACAGTTATTTTTACAGTTACCACTTCCATTTCCCCACTTGTCCTTATTACACTTGGCTCCCATTTCCTAGCCAAGTACTTACTGAGTTGTGTTAGTGTATTTTGTTTTGCAGCATAATTTATCTCCTTTTCAAAAGAAAAAATAAACGTCTTGAAATTCAAAGCAGCACATACACACACACACACAAAATGTGCAATTTAACTCTGTGAACCCTGGTGCCATTAGCACACAATAAAAGTTGTTTTCTATGGATGGATCGTATTTTGCCAGGGTGGCACCAGCAGTTTATAGGTTAAACAAAATGGCCTCCTGCCAGTTGAAGCACTTACTTTGCAACAAAAATTGAAACAAGTCTTTCCACTACATCAACTTGGTTTTTTGAGAAGGTTTGATTATTTCTTTTGCTTTGGGTTCAAATCAACGTATTGTTCTATATTAGTCTGATTTTACCCTGGTCGTCTTTATATTTCACTTTTTTTTAAGTTGGGTTTTTCTTTGGAAAGGATTAATGTAAAAAAGATTTAGAGATCTGTTTCTAAAGCTACAGGGTTTAAAATAAAAAAAAATAAAATAAAATGAGTGACAATACTTGATGTTTCTTGAGAGATAAATTTAATAATAATAATAAAAAAAAAGCCACAGGCCTGTAAATTTTATTTGTAAAAAGCATTTCTATTTTTATACAAAATTTTTACTGCCTCAGAAATAATGGAATTTATTTATTGCCTATTGTTAACTTATTGGATAACTAAAGAGCAGCTCTCTATGCTAGCTAGATCCTTTGAAGTAGTCTCTAGAGTAATTGTGCCAAGAATGGGCGCTTTTTCACTGTTGAACCCTACCCCCTTTACAGTTCATACTTTTATCCTCTTGTTTGTACTTGTCTGGTTATTTTGTTCGTAGTTTCCATTACCTAGTTTAAAGTTCAGTTGTCTGACCTTTCTCCCCCTTCTCCCCGTGCCTTTCTGTTACATTTGTAGAAACTGGTTCTTTCCTCTCTTTTCTCCCCAAAGAGGAATCCATTCTCTCTGAGTCCTTTCAGATGGATTCTTTTGGGGTTCCATTGTGCTCTTGTTGACAAGTATTGTAAGTTAATGCAAATGATGTGAACGGCTCGTAGACTCTACTGATAAAAAAGATTTGCATTAGTTTTCTCCTGCACCCATAAAAGTGATTTCGTTTGTGCTGCATAGATTCTGTGTAACTTTTTTTCCTCTTCCTTGTTTTTTCCCTAGACATCTCCATGCCCGTTAGCCCATCGTTTGCCTAGCATGTCCCTGTGGCGTCTCAAAAAAAAACCAGTTTCATCGTCCCGTCATTGTTTCTGATGTCTTTCTGACCTCACATCATATTTGGTTCTCCTACTGACCTTTGATCTAGTTTGACCTTTGAAATTTGCATGTGACCTCATCTAGCTATGAATTCTGGGAAGTCAATGTGAAAAAACATTGCTGCATTCATGCAAGACTGAAATTTATTATTAGATAAATTAATGATAGGATTTAAAAAACAACCTGTGGCAAAATGTTTTTTCTTTCTTTCCTTTTTTTTTTTTTATTTCTTTTTTTTCCTTTGGGTTTTTGTTTTCTTTTGGGTTTTTTTCTTCCGTTCTTGTTTTTTTTTTCTTTTTTTCTCTTTCATTTAGTAAAAAAAAAAAATAAAAAAAAAAAAAACAGACTTGAAAGTATTATACAGGGATTGGCATTCTGCCTGGTCACTGGTGACAATAGCAATATGTGTCCAGAGGCACAGAATGTTGGTTTCTAACAGACTACTTCCAAAACAGTTTGAGAAATAAAACTGTCTGATTTTAAGTCTCTAGAGGTCTGTAATAGTTTTTACATTTTTCAGGCAGTGTAAAGTTTTTTGATAAGGCCATTTTAGGTGGCTCACTTTCTCATTAAAGTATATATATAGAACCACTTTTTGTAGATTAGTATAAGAAAATATTTACCCTGTTTTAGGGCAAATGCTACCTACTTGTGTCACCTTTTGCTGAACTGACTCACAGTTAGACAATCCATGGTTTAATGCACATGAAATTACCTATATTTTATACTGTTTCAATGTACAGAAGAAAGGTTACTGTAAAATGTGTTACGTTGGTGCTTCTGTGAATTAAGTTGTGGTTTCATCATGAGTCTTATGGTCTTAAGTGTTCTATGTTTATAAAAGACGAGTTTAAAATTGGTTTACTTGAACAACAAGAACAAAAACAAGATTCAAAAAAAAAGAAAAAAAAGAAAAAAAAAGTTGTTTGCTTAAAAAAAAAATAATTTCATGTGAAAAATGAAAAAATATTCCAGAATAAGTTTGTGTTGGCTTGTGACGCATTGATGTCATTTTTTTATCGTGAACAATTTAGATGTGTTTGTGTTCAGCAAAATGTGATCGGTTTTTCTTTTAAAGGAAAAATAAAAAAAACAGTGAAACTATAGTGCCAAATTCCAAAGGTACTTCTTCCTAGAGCTTCAGTGTGTTTCTCGTGTGAAGTAATTTGATAACATGGGTATTTTATTATGTGTTTTGTATAAATCCCTAATATTTAAAGAAAAAAAAAGAGGTTAAAAAGTTTGTTAACTTGCTATCCTGTGGTCTTGTTGCCTGAAATTGTTATTGTTTGTTATTTCTCTTTGATGTTTTTTGTAAAACATTGTATAAGTGCCCATGTTTCACTTTTTTAACCACTCTGCACACATCAATGCTGTGAAAGCAAACCTCACTATGTATTTTCTTCATATTGTATGGAAACCTCTAAGGTGAGAAAGTTTTGAACTTTTAACCCTTTCCACCCAGAGCTGTCTTGAGTGTTAATACCTTTTATACATTCACCATTTTGCTGTTTATTTTTATATATATATCTATATCTATAAATATATATATACTTAGTTTTTTGTGGTTTATTTAATACATGGTTGAAATCAGAACAATGCACAGGGCAGATCTGAAGGACAAAAAAATATTTTACTGCTGTCTAAATTTCTTCTGTATCTATAACTAAAATTATTTAAAACAGTAATTAACTTGTGGTTTTCCTTTTTAGATTTTGGGGATTTTGTCTTTTCTTAAAAGAGCTTTTAATATGCTGCTGGAATATGCTATTCAGTATTAATAAAAGAAAAGAAAAAGAAACAATTCTTTAATTATCTATTCTGTGAGCCACTCCCAGATAGGAGTGGTAAATCCACCATTTGAAAACCTTGAGGAGAAAAAAAGAAAATAAAATCATATTTTTGTAATTTAAATAAATGAACTTTTGCTTAAATCAGATGCACTAGATCTTCCTGGGTGAAAATTCAGTGTGCACTGCAGTTAAACTACTTTTTATGGATAAAGTTTACATACACTGTAATGTTTGGTGTTATCTGGCATTCTTTGTAATGGCAATATATTGGCTTACTCCTGCAGACACTCGTGTAGAGAGGAGTAACTTTACTCGTACAAGTAGTCCATGGGAATATATATGTGATTGATGTGGGTGTTTGCTGGAGGAAGCTCTGTGTAAGGAACCAGAAAAGAGATGCTGGTAGCCCTTTTTACTGCCTTGTACGTCTGATTAGATTGCATTTCTACTGCACAAGTAGTGGCCAACAACCAAATTGGGTTCTTTACTACCTGTATAGACAATTCATTGCCAATCCAATGTGTGTGAGCAGCAGTACTTGTTACTGATGATAAAGTGCCATACCTTCTTCCACTTCCTATTTGTATCCAATTATATTTGAAGCCACCTAAAATTAAAAACAAAGCCCTATATGAATGACATCAGCTGGTGCACTCTTGTCTCTCATCCCCAACTTAAATGCTTCTTTATGTAGAGCCCTGGGATGGAAAGGACTAGCCTCTAGTGATGCAAAAAAGTTTCCTTCTTATAGCACATGCACTTATAAATAAATGATCTATACTTTTCTCACGTATTTTTACTACTGCTGGGGCCTTCCTACACCCTTTGAGGGCTATTTTGTACTACTTGCAGCAATTTTGCGTATTCGAAGTATCATCTCACGTACGTTATATTATATATATGTACATATATATATATAATATGAGATCATCATTTGGATTGTTTAGACTGTTTCACTAATTTTTTCTCATTGTACCCACCGTATAAATTTCCAAAGCTTTTTTAGATGCCCTAATGTTGTCCTGTGGGTTTACCAGTCAGTCAGAGCAGTGATGCCTTTGGTCCTCAGACAGTGTAACTCGGCATCGGGCTGCCCCGAATTACACTACATGGGACACTGGCTTAGCAGTGGGAAAGGAGGAATCTTTCTGTGCTTCCAGGCAACTGAGATGGGTCATTGCTGAGAAAAATGTCCATCTTGATAAAAAATAAAAGAAATCCCAGTACAAAACCAAAAACCCAAAAATACACCTCCTTGGAGACAAATTAACTACCAGATCTCTTTCAATATTGAAAGGACAAAGCTGCAAGGGTGCAAGGGCCTAATAAGAGAGGAAGAAAAACAAGGGAAATTGCTTTACAAAATTCTAATCAAAAGACTAGACTAGTTGTTTTTTTTCAAATTAGCTAATTGCAATGAAATGGCAGTCCTCAAAGGAGTAACAAGTTCATCTTTCTTTCACCATAGGGGTTACAGTTCCTTGGCTTGTGCTACTCTGGAATCATTTTACTGTTTCTGTTTTTATTATCTTAAGTGCTAATTAACAAAAGGAAAAAAAATATCCTGTAGTTTCATTACCTTTTTGGATAATGTCATACAAAAAAAATGACAAAAAAAAGAAAAAGAAAAAAAAACAAACCTATGTACTTGTGTTTTTTTTGTGCTGTGAGAATTGTTGTTTGTAGATTAAGAATACTATCATTTTGTTTAGAATGACAAACTAGTTTTTAAGTATTGTCTGAGAAAAGCCAAAGTTAATGCAATCTAGTGGAAACTGTAAGACCATTTGAGTATTGTTTCTGTTTTATTGATGCATTTGGATTTTGTTGTTTGATGGAATTTGAGCCAAAAAAAATAATCAAAAAAGAACAAAAAAAGGCAAAAAAAAAAAAAAAGCAGGCTTTCCTATTTCTACAACTTGATTGTACTTATGCATTTTGTACCAGTGGAACTTTTTATACTGGAGATTAAAAAACAAATGGAAATTTTTGTGGCTTACTCTCGTGGGCCCCCTCGATCATGACTGATTTTCAAGTTTGATTTCTGGACGGTA